AATTATATGAAGGCAAAAAAAAAAAAAAAAAAAAAAAAAATAAAAAAAATTTAAGGAAAATTTTAAAAAAAAAAAAAAATAATAATGGAAAATGAATATTTTTTTTTTTCAATGATTTGAAATATGTGGAGTAATTATGGAAAAAAATTTCTCAGAGAAATATGTAAGTTTTCAAAATAATTCAAAGCAATTGAATACTTCTCAAAAAATATTTGAATGGATTTTTAATTATCCCCTTTTTAATGGTATACATCATTGAATATAAATTGATTTAAATTATAAAAAAAAAAAAAAAAAAAAAAAAGAAAGAAAATAAAAATATATATTTATAAAAAAAATAAAAATTTTTTGTTAATTTTATTTATTTATTTTTTTTTTAAAGAAATTAGGAACACTAATTTGTCTAATCAACTTGGAAATATAGAAATAAAGAGAGATGTTCATAAAGAATTACAAACAATTGTAAGCAAAAAAAATGGTAAAAATAATAATTCCAATTTTAATATAAGAAAGTGTAGTGAATTTACTTCAAATCCAATTAAAAATGAAATAAAAGCAAAAGGTAATAATAAATTTTTTTAATAATATAATGTATACATAGAATATATAAGTAAAAAAATATATAATAAAATAATAATTGTTATATATATATATATATATATATCTATTTAAATAATTTTAATATAAAAAAATTTTGTTACTTATTATATATATAACAATTTTATATATACTGTGTTTTTTTTATTTATACATTTAACTCAGATTATAGTTTAATAAATAACAATAAATTTTATATAAATATCATAAAAAAAAGTGAAAAAATATATAACTGTTATTATGAAGAAATAAAGAATGAAAAAAAAAATAAAATAATATTTGAAAATGTTAAGGAGAAATATTTCAAAAAAAAAAAATGTAACAGAGAAGATTTTCATATAGATACCATTTTACAGCAAAATGTTAATAAAGAAAAAAGCTTCATATTAGAAGAAAAATTTAATCCCTTTTTTAATTTTTTTGAAAAGGAGAATAAAAATATATACCATAGTAGTATAAATTTTTCATTAAAAACAAATATACAATTAAACAAATATTTTTATAAAATAATTTTAAATCAACTTAATTATTATAGAATTAAAAAGGACATATATATTAATATTTTAAATATCATAAATGAAATATCAAAATATTATCATAGCTATGGGTATGACATTCTAAATAATATAAAAGTAATTAAATTTAAAAAAAATAAAAAGAAATAAAGAATAATATAAAAATTAAAAGATAATTTGTATGTATATATATATATATGTATATATATGTATATTTTTTTTTTATTTAGATAAAATGTTTTCCGTATAAAAAAATAGGAAATAGTTTTTACATAAATGGTTTAGTATTCAGTAATTGTTCTATATATTTTAATGATTTAGAAATTGAGAATCCAAAGATATTATTATTAGATACAGAAAAAAAAATAAAATATGAAAAATTAGAGAATTATTATAGTTACAATTATAATTATTTTTTATGGAAAAAGTTGTCTAATAGATTTTTGAATATAATTTTAGTACATGGAGAATTAGATTTTTACATAAAAAAATTATTAATTAATAAAAAAATATATTTTTTCACTAGTATAAAAAAAAAAAATATGAATCGTTTATCAAATCTTTTACGTATACAAATTTTAAATTATGAAAATTTTCTAAATTTTGATAATGGTTATGTAGCTAATGCTAATTATTTCAAAATTCAAAAATATAAAAAAAATGTAAAAAATATTTTTCTTTGTTGTAATAATAAATTTTTAACTGTATGTATTTTTGGAAAGAAAGAAATTAATGAAAATGTGTTAATAAAAAAAAATGAGAAATCTGATTATTTAACTGTTAAGGAAAGTAGCTTAAAAAATAATATGAAAAATACGACAATTTTTGATGATTATTTTAAAAGAGAAGTTGAAAAAGAAAATATTTTAAATAATTTTATAAATGTTTATTATAAAAATAAAAACGACGATTATATAATAGATTACTTTTTTATAAATAAAGAAAAGAAAATAAGCTTTTCAGGAAAAGAAAAAAATGAAAATAAAAAAAATTTATTAATAAATCATCTTAAAAATATAGTCATAATTAAAAAAGTTAAGAAGATACTAAAATTTATTATATTTTTAAGTTTTCATATTTATAAACAAATTTATTTGAATAATTATTTAGATAGAACTCTTATATCTTTATCTGATGAAAATATAAATACAAATTTAATATATCATAAAAGTTACAATGATTTGAATTCCTTAATTTTATCTTCATTTTTTTTTATTTATCCCACAAAAAAAAAAATTACCCCAATAAATTTAATGTCAAATTTGTTTCATTTAATAAATATTAAGAGTCCCTTAACACATGAAAGAATAAATATTTTACATAAGTTAATAAATGCAAACAAAATTATTAAGGAACAGATATACAATAATTATGAATATTGTTTTTTTACATCAGAAAAAAATAAAATAATAGATATTGTAAATTTTTTTTTTTTCAATAATTTTATGCAAAATTATGAAAGTAGCTATGAATATATATTTTACTATTTAAAAATAATTAATAATACTTATTTACACTATAACCATCAAAGTATTCTAATAAATGATCAGAATATTTTAAATGGTATAAATCTTTTAAGTAATCATATTCCTCCTAATGATCAAATAACAGTAGAATATAAAATGAATGAAAAAGTAGAAAAAATTATTGTAGAAAATATTTTATATTATTCTTATGATTTTCAATCTTCTAAAAATATAGAAATGATAATTTACTTTATTTGTCCCAATTATTTGTTTATAAAAAATATATATAATAATATAAATATATATTTGTTTGATAATCAAAAAAATAATAGTATAAAATTGTTTTACAATTTTTTTTTCAATTATAAATATATTTATGATATTACAATACAACAATTTATATATATTATGCATTCTTTAAGCTTTAAACTGTAAGAAAAAAAAAAAAAAAAAAAAAAAAATTAAATAAAAATTATTTATTTAAATATCTTTTTGTAATTTGTTTAATTCATATATTAAAATTTAAATGTTACTTTTCTTTTCCTATTTGATTTTTATATAATTATATATTTATAATAATCTTATTATTTTTATATTGATTTATTGATTTATTTATTTATTTTTATTTTTTTTTTTTTTTTTTTTTNNNAAAAAAAAAAAAAAAAAAAAAAAAATTAAATAAAAATTATTTATTTAAATATCTTTTTGTAATTTGTTTAATTCATATATTAAAATTTAAATGTTACTTTTCTTTTCCTATTTGATTTTTATATAATTATATATTTATAATAATCTTATTATTTTTATATTGATTTATTGATTTATTTATTTATTTTTATTTTTTTTTTTTTTTTTTTGTAGAAAATGTCCATTTGATTTATGTAGAAATTATTTATGTTATCATCAGATGTGTATCCAAATTTTTTTGAAAAAAATATTAATTACAATTAAAAAAGAAAAAAATGAAAATTCAGAAGATAACATAATTTTAAATATTATTTGTAACAAATGTAATTATGTAAATGAAAAAAATATGAATTTGAATTTTTCTTTCAGTGAGTTCTTATTATGCATCATACATTCAGATAACTATATAAATAGATGTTGTAATCACAATGCTGAATATAATAGTTATGTATTATATTTTAAAAATATTAAAATAAATTTTCAGGTGTATAATAATAATATTTACAAGAGTATTGGAAAATTTAAGAAAATACATATGAATAAATCTAGTAATGAAAGGATGATAAATAATGATAATACTCACAATAAAAAGACAAATTTAAATTACTTAAATAAAAAAAAAGTAGAAAAAAAACTGAAAAATTATATTAAAAGAAATATAAAAAATATTATACAAAGTAATATTTTTTATTATTTTCCATGTAAATGCTTTACTAGAGGATATAATTTAAAAAAAAAAAAAAAAAAAAAAAATTATTCAAGTTTTAATCTTAATAGTGTTATAGAAAATTTTCCAAGTTTTAATAACTCAATGTTACCAATGTATTCTACTTTGAAATTTTTTATCTATAATTATGCAATTAAGTATTATCGATCAAAAAATAAACATTTATATATGAAATCAAATAAAAAAATTAAAAAAGAGAATTATCATAATCCATATTCACCTCTGTATTTTAAAAATAAATGTAAAAAATGTAAATATATAAAAATTTCTAACTTCCCTACACTAGTGTTCTTTAATTCTCTATTTATTATAAAAAGAATATTTTATAATTTTTATTCTTTAATTAGTTTTCTTATTGATTTACTAAATAAAAATATTTTTATGAAAATAAATGAAATAACGTATATTCTAAATAATAGAACAATATGCTTTATAGATGATAATTTTTTATCAACAAAGGGAGATTTAAAAAAAAATAATAATAATAATCAATGTAACATGGAAGATTTAACGTGTAAAGAATATAGAGAGAGTAAAGAAGTAATAATAAATGAAAATTTAAGCTCAAATTCTCATCAAATGAATATATATATAAATGAAGTTAACCAAGAAAAATTTGAGAATAAGATCAATGAAGAAATAAATAATGATACTGTTGAAATAAACTATAAATATATAAAAATAAATTCAAAAGATATATTCAATTTTGATACTAATTTAGCTAATTCTAAATTATATAATAATACTATTAATTTAGAAGATTATAGCAAAAAAAAAAATAATTTAATAAAGGAATTTTTGTTATTTAAAAAATTGAGGAATATAATTAGGCATTATGAAAAGTACTTGATTAAAATATTAATTAACTTCTATTTTTATGGTGTTATAAATTTAAAAAGAAAAAATTTCTCATTAGAGATAGAAATTTTCTTTTCATATTATATAATGATATTAGAAAAAATAAATATAGAAATTCAAAAAAATATTGAAAAAATTGATAAGATAAGAAGTAAAGAAAAACTGAAATACCTAAATTTTACAAAAAATATAAATAAAAAATTAAAATTTTTTATTTTTGATTATTATACAAAAGAAAAAAGAAAAAGAAAAAGAACAGGAAACAAAAAAAAAAAAAAAAAATGTAAATTAGTATGTATAAACGAAGAAAACTATTCTCATTTAAACCCTTCATATCATGCAAATTTCAATAAAATAAAAAAAGAGAAAAATAAATTTTTTTATTTTTCTTCAGAATATGATATATCTAAGTTATATATAAATGAAAAAAGCTATATATATAATATAGAGAATTATAGAAGAAAAAAAAATATAGATTTTACAAATAAGGAGGATTATGAAAATGAAAATAACAAGTCTTTTTATATGCATATATCAAAAATAATAAAAGAAGAAAAAAAAAGTTTAAATAATAAAAAAACAGAAAAAAAAAAAAAAAAAAATTCTCTATTTATATTTAAACCAAATGATACATCAAATGTGATATTCCATTCATTAATATCAGAAAATTATAAAAAGAAATTAAAAGAAATTTATGAAAAAGAAAAGGAAATAATATGTAAAGGAAATAATATATCAAATAACTGTAAAAAAATATTAAGACAAGATATGTTTTGTAATAAAAAAAAGAAATTTCCATATATGATACATTATAATGATATTGAAAAATATTTAAATAAATGTATAAATAACTTACACAATAATTTTTGTGATGATAATATGAAAGATTTTTTAAATTGTAAAAATAATGATATTATCACAGTTCTTCTAAGTAATAACATATGTGTGTATGTTTATTTTCCTTTGCAGTTTTTTTATTTAAGAAAATTTTTATTCGAAAAAGAAATAAATTTTTTAAGATCTCTAAAAAAAAGTAATCACATAAATTTTGATTATAAAAAGAAGAATTTTATAAAAACTTATGACGGTAAGTATATTATAAAAGAAATAAATAGACATGAATTTAAATCTTTTGTTACTAAATTCAAAGAGTTCTTTCAACAATTTTCAGATATTTTTTTCAAATTTAAAAAATCCTTGTTGTGTTTTATGTATGGTTTATTTCAAATAGAAATAAAGAAAAAAAACAAAAAAACAGTAAAAACCTACATAATTCTAGAAAATGTTAGGATTAACAATATAAATGCAAAGATTTTAATTTTTGATATAAAAGGTGCAAGAAAAAAAAAAAATTTACAAAATTTACTTATACAAAATAATAGAAATTCCTCTTTTTTTGAAAACAGTGAAAATATTTCATTAAATGCAACTAAAATAAAAGAGGAGGAATATTTATCAAGTGATGAGTTATCTGATAAATCTATGAATTTAAAATATTTCACAGAATATATACAAAAAGAAAAAAAAAAAAAAAAAAACCACAAATCCACTGCCAATCAAATTGAAGAGTATAAAAACAAATATAAAAAAAATAGTTTAGATTTTCCTTTATTATCTAGATCAAGTAAATTAAAGAAAAAAAAAGAAAATAAAAAAAACAAAAAGAAGGAATTATATACAACTGAATTTAATGAAGAAGGTTCAGATAGGAAAAAAAAAAATAGAAACAATAAAAAATATTCAAATGACATAAATGAACAGATAAATAGAGAGCAAAAAAAGAATTATAATAGTAATAAAAATGAAGAAAAGATGAATAAATTTTATAAAAGATATAAAAGAAAGATATTAAACGGGAACTGTTCACATATAAAGTCACTAAAAAAACCTATAACAAATCTAAGGTTAAAAAAAAATATTTCTGATACTAAAGAAAAATCTAAATGGAGTAAACTAAAAATAGGTAAAAGAAAAATTGAATTGAATAAAAAATCTCAAAAAGAAAATAATAATTTTTTGAAAGAAATAATACAAAATATAAAAATTTATCTATCCGTGAATCAAAGAATATTAAAATTAAAAAAAAAAAAAAATAACAAATGTAAATTTAAAAATAATCTTAAAAGAAAATACCTATATGACACCAAATATTCCTTACATTTTTTATCAAAAAAAAAAGAGCAAATTTTAAATAAAGAAAATTTAAATAATTATAAAATTAAACATAGTAGTACAAATGAAGAAACGTATGATTTATTATATAAAGTAATGTATAATAATAAAAATTTTGAAAGTTCAAACTCTTTAGAAAAGTACAATCATTTTACAATAGATAATTATAACACATTAAGAAATTATTATGTTTTATTTGATGATAACTTTAAAGACTTTATTAAAGCCAAGATAATTAATTTGGAGTATAATGATTACAAATATTTAATTGATTCATTAAAGAATGACACGAATTTTTTGTCATCACTAGATATAATGGATTATTCCCTACTTATACACATAGATATTTCTAATTTTCAAATTGCTTTTAAAATTATTGATTATTTACGCCCATATACTTGGGATAAATCAGTAGAGAATTTTAGCAAAAGTGTATTATATTTAACTAAAGGATATAGACCAACTATAATACATTCAGAATATTATAAAAAGAGGTTTTTAAGTAATATAAGAAAATATTTTTTTTATTATGTTCCCTTATACACACTTAAAAAAAAAAATGTTTTTAAAATAGCTAGCAGAAATAATTCTTTTTCAATTGTTAACTTAAATAAAAATCATCCATATAAAAATTACTTTTTTTATTTCCTTTTTAATATAATAATAAGATATTATAATAATAGTAATATATACAATAAATATTTATATAAGAATGAGAAGTTTGATGATGATTACCATTTTGCAAATCTCTATTCTCAAAAAAATATTTTTCTTTTCTTAAACTATTACTTAAAAGAATATGTTACAAAAAGTGTAGAAGAAAAAAAAAAAATATATAAAGATAATTTTCTTTTTTACTTTAATAATATAAATATAATGAATTCTTATATTTATGAAAATCATTTAATACAATTTGATAAAATATTAAGCAATGATGTTTGTGTATCGCAGAATTATAAAACTAAAAGTGAGTTGATACATTTAAATAAAACATTTTTGAGAAAAAACGGTTATGAAGATAAACTTTTATGTAATCCAATTTTGCCTTATTGTACATTAGAAAATTTTAATATACTAAATGATAAAAATAATAATTTTTCAATTGTTAATAAGAACGATTTATTATTTGTTAAAAATTTTGAATCATCTGACAAAATAAAATATTTTACTGAATATTCAGAAATAACGCAAAATTTTTTTAATAGAAATCAATCTTTCAATGAAAAACACTTTAAAAGGCTAAAAAAAAAGTTTTTTAAAAAAATAACAGAACTTCAAATTAAAATTCTAAAAAAATTACAAAAAAGCAAACTAAATATAGAAAATATTTCATATTATGTTCACAATAATGTTTTTATAGAAATGAATGATATTAATTTACATCATACAAATATTAACTATTTAGATGCATTTAATATTTATAATATTTGTGAAAAAGAATATATTAATAAAGGTAAAAGAGTAAAGAATAAAAAAAAAGAAAAACTATTTTTATACATTCCATCTTATTTTCTTTTTATTTTAAATAAAAATTAAATGAAGTGATGAAAAAATTTAATAAAATTAAAACTAAAAAAATAAATGAAATAACATTTTATCCTTTTTTTATAATCTGATGAAATTTTTTGTTCAACACTTTAGAATTACTAAGTATAATGAAAATAGTCAACTTTTATTATTTTTAAATTTACTTGCTACAATAAAATTTCATAAAATATTAATAAATATAATAATTTAAATTGTGATTTCCAGATAAATTAAATATAAATAAAAATCTAAATTATTGATTTGCTTTAAAAATAATTTATATAAAATTTTTTTTTAACAGCATAATTATTACGTATCACCATAGAATTTATAAAGAAAAAGGATAATAAACATATTTGGTATTTTGTTATTAAAAACACAAATATTTATCTCTGATTTTTTTTTAAATGTATCCTTTATATATATAAACGTATATTTATAATAAATCTATTAAAGCTAAAATATTTTAAATTTTTTGAATTGATAAAAAATAGATTGATTTTTATAGTATCTAAATATTATTTAATGAAAATATTGTTTTAGTATTTTTAGTATTCTTATTAATTTATATATTTTAATTTTTTTTTTTTTTTTTTTTTTTTCATTTTTGTTAAAATTCGGAATATATTCTATTCCATTCTTGTATTGTTATTAATGTTACTAATTGTTACTCTTATTGATATTGTTATTCCTTTAAAATTTATATTAATTTTTAGTTCATTTCTTTATATATATATTTTAATTTTTTTTCATTTTGTTTTAATTAATTTTTGTAAATGAAGTTATCCTTCTATTTTTTTTTTTTTCTTCTACTAACATTTATGCCTAGTATATATTAAAATTATCAAAAAAAAAAATAAAACATTTTGTTAATTCAAAAAAAATTATTATATTTTATAAAATACAGAGATAATTACTTTAGTAATTATTATGAAAAAAGAATTAAGAAATTAAAAAATATGAATTCATTGATAACCATTGTTATTCAACATTTTCATTCATAAGTATTATATAGACGTTAATGTTTTATGATTTTATTAAAAGAATATAAAAAAAATATTAAAAAAAAAAAAAAAACAATGAAAAGTAAACTATAAATACATATAGATATTTTAACTTTTTATAAATATATTTCGAAAAAACAAACTAAATTATAAAGATATTTTATTGACAACTTTTAAATTAAACAATATTTATTTCAATTGGAATTATATTTACGTTATGTAACAACATAATTCTAAAAAATTATCAGTTTCTTGTTATAATAAAAGATGAAAAATATAAGAGTTTAACAGAAATTTTTAATATCACAAGCTCATTAATGTGTATACTAATATATCTGTAAATTGTTCTTTTTAATAACTAATAATTATATATAAATATATAGTTTACTTTTTTTTTAAATATAATTGTAAAAAAAATAAAGAAAAATATATTTATATTATTTTTCTTTACATATAATTAAATAAGGCTGTTTATATTTTATAAATAAATATTTTATCATATTTAAAGTGTAACCTGTTTTATAAAATATTTATCAAAAATAATTGAATATTAAGAGATAATAAAAAATAAAAATTGAATGATTTAAATTTGTGTCAATTATTTTTTTTAACACTTACAAGAATACTTAAAAAATTTCTTTTTTTTTTTTGAATTATAAATTTAAATTTAACTAATACTTGAAATTTCTCACTATTTTATTTTTTTTTTTAACCTTTTTCATATCCTTTAATATATTTTAGTGATACGGATGTTATATAAAAAGTAAGAATAAATTCTTATATAGAAAGATAAAAAATTTATATAAGCGTTTTAAAATAATAAATATGAAGAAATTTTTATATATATATATATGCATATGTTTTTTTTAATGAACATTATGCACTCAATAATATTTACTTATTATTATTCTCTTTGAGTTTAATTAATCTTGAAATGTTTTTTTTTTTTTACACTTGATATATATTTAAACCATAAATAATTAATGCATATATATTGATATGTTTTTTATTTCATTTTTTTTTTTTTTTTTTTTATGTATTTTCATATTTTCTCAAAAATAATAATCTAAATAAAAATATGCTATTCAGTAGATGATATGTTAAAAATTTAAAAAAGAGCATTTTTTTTTAACTTAAAAAAATAGAAATATAAAAAAAAATTTTGCAAAATAAAGAAAAGCATATCAATTACAACTTTAAATTCAAAATTTTTATTATTTTTTTATCACCTGTAACAATTTTAATATTTATATTTATACGTACCAATTTTTCTTATTTTTTTTTTTAAAATGGATATGCTAAATCCTCAGTTTGAAGAAATAGGAAAAGAATTTGTAAATCATTATTTTCAATGTTTTAATACTGGAAGGTTTAAAAAAAATTAAATAAAATTTAAATATAAAATTGAAAGAACATTTACTTATGACTTTATATAAATTAAAAGGATTAAATATATACATTAATATATAAACATATTTATATATATATATATATAACATATTTTCTTTATATTTAGAAATGAACTTGCAGCCTTATATAAAGACATTAGTATGATGAGTTTTGAGAATGATCAATGTAGAGGAACCAATCAAATAATAGAACGACTAAATAAGTTACCTCAAACGGTAGTACATAAATGTTTAAGTTTAGATATTCAACCAACACCAAACAATGGAATTTTGATTTTAGTTTGTGGTGATATAATTATTGAAGAAAATAAACCATTGAAATTTTGTAGAACATTTCATTTATGCCCATTACCTAGTGGAGGATATTTCAGTAAGATATTATTTTGAATTTCTATTTTTTTTATTTTTTATCTTTATATTAATTCACTCATATATGCAATTCTATATTAGTATCATCTTTTATTATTATTTTTTTTATGCAATTTTTCAAGATTTTTTTTTTTTTTTTATTAACAATATTTATAATTTTATTCATTATTATTACTATTTTACATATATATTTATATACATAATTTTTTTTTTTTTTTTCATAGTTTTTAATGATTTATTTAGATTTTGCATTAGTTAAGCACAAAATATACTGGATAAAGGAAGAGATAAATATTAGGTTTAATTTTATTTCATTTTTTTTTTCAATCGACAAAAATAATTTAAAAATGATTGTTTATTTTAATAATTTTTTTTTTTTTTTTATTTATTCAATTTATGGTTGTTATATACTTTATTGAACTTTATTTTTATTAAGAAGAAGATATAACTTAAGAACAGTCGACAGTTATAGCACCTTATTTTATTAATAAAAAAAAATATAATTTCAATATATATATATATATATATATATATATATTTATTTAATGTATTCTTCTTTAAATCATTTTAAATATGTTTAAATAATACTTTTTTTTTTTCAATTATAAGTAGTAAAAAATATTATATTAAGAAGAAAAAATCTCTGAATTACATAGCTTTAAAATTATCATCTCTGAAAAATAACAGATTTTTTTTTTTATTTGTAATGGGATGTTTAAAAAGGAAAATATATATTTTAAATTTATATAAAATATATATAAAATAATAATGAAGCTAATTTTTTTTTTTTTTAATTAAAATGGTTTTTAGAGAAAACAGTTAAAAATTATATACATATGTAAAGAGTATCAATTTTATTTTTTTCTTTTAAATCATGAATAGTCTCAAAAAATTAGAATTTCCACTTTTTTTTATAAAGCACTGTTAAGTTACATATATATTTCAGAAAATTTTTCTTATAAGATATGATAACACGATAACAATTTTAGTATCATATTCTTAAATTTATATTTTATCAATTATTTTGTTAAGGTGAGATAAATTATCAAATTTTAATTTAATTTTAAAAATTTAGTTTTTATTTTACATTTAAAAAAATATTGATATTTGAGAAATTCTTACATATCTAGTAGCATAGAAAGGTTTTTAATTTATTTTATTATCGGTGTATTTTATTTTGTTTTCTCTTAATTTTTTTTTTTTTTTTTCCCATTAATATAATAAATTCATATTTATATTGAATTCTACAAAAAAAAAAAAAAAAAAAA